CAAACTCAGTGCTGTGATGGGGCTCCAGGGGATTTGTTCATGGATGTTTATAATGTGCCTTCCATAGGATACATTTTATTTTTTATTTGTTCTAATTAGTTATGTATACATTTTGATGCATTGTACACAAATGGAGCACCACTTCTCATTCTTTTGGCTGTACATGGTGCTGAGTCACACCAGTAGTATAATCATACACGTATGTAGGGTAATGATGTCTGCCTCATTCTACTGCCCTTCCCATCCCTGCTATCCCACCCCTCCCTTTACTTCCCTCTGCACAATCTAGAGTTCCTTCATTTTTCCTTACCCTCCCACTATGGATCAGCATGCGCTTACCAGAGAAAACATTCAGCCTTTGGTTTGGGGGAATTGGCTTATTTCACTTAGCATGATATGCTCTAGTTCTTATCCATTTACCTGCAAATGACATAATTTCATTCTTTTTAAATAATATTTTTAGATGTACATGGACACAATACCTTTATTTTGTTTATTTAATTTTTTTATGTGGTGGGCGGATCCAACACAGTATCTCATGCATTCTAGGCAAGCACTCTATCACTGAGTCACAACCCAGCCCCATAAAATTTTCATTCTTAATTAAGGCTGAGTAATAGTACATTCTGTATATATACCATATTTTCTTTATCCATTCATCTGTTGAAGGGCATCTAGATTGGGATACTTTTTTATCTGCCTAAGTATCCAACTATGACCTGGTGTTCCACTGACTAGAAATTTGAAATTTATTTATATTGACAGTTGTCCTTGTGGCTCTTGTCTGACCTGTGCCCAGTTTATTCCTACCAAGAACAATTTTTTAAAAAGAAACAAAAGACAACTTGAAAATTTAAAAAAAAAAAGATGATCACTCTTTTGGAGAGCATTGACAAGAATAAAAGTTAGGTACATTTGTGTTGTTTGAATGATACATGGAGAAGGCAGCACAACAAAAATACATGAAAGAACAGTTTATTACTTACATGTCAGAGAGAGAAGGGGACTACTGATGAGAGAGGACAGGAAGGTTTCAGGGGCAATGTGATTAAACTATGGTTTTGAAGCCAAAGAAAAAGAGAAACGGGCCAATGGGAAAAAGCCTTGGGTGTCCAGAGCAGTACTCAAGCAGGCTTTCCATGGGAAGTTCTAATTGGTGAGTTAAGAACAAGCAGGCTGAAATCTTACTAGAACTGAGAGGTGGTTACTACAGCATATCCACACTATCAACATGGGGTATTGGGAACAGTGGGGCAAGTTAAGTAGGTTGTATCTTCATGTCCTAGAGGGAGGTGATTACCAAGAATTGACTGTACAAGACAAATATCTGGATTGACCACATTGAGGAACAGGTAGGGGCAGAGAACTGGAAACTGTGTCAAGGGTGACTAAGCCCTGCTTCTCTTATGCTGAAGCAACATAGACTTATAGGAATATACTACATTATATACATTTATTTTGTTTTGGTTTGGTTTTTGGATTTTGGTTTCATAAATTTAAAGTTTAGAAAACATTATTCTAACAAACTTGCAAGCTTATTAATTACTTTGTTGGAATTGTGGAACAGCAGACAAAAATGAACCTAATCAAAGGTGAATTTTAGAAACAATGTTGAGTAAATGAATCACAGAAGAATATATGTAGTTAATTATTATTAATACACAATTACATGTATTAACTAAAATATAATTTAGGGAGAATTAAATGTGTTAAAAGCTGAAATTTAGTCAGTGAAATGATAGAAACAAAATTCAAGATGGTAGTTGCCATCTTGGGAGAGCAGGGTTCACAAAGGAATATGTAATGGTATTAATAATATTTCACTTCTTATTGAATACAAGCTGGACTCATTTCAATATGCTTCAAAATTTACATATATCATTTTTATCACATAAATTGTTGCATAAAACATTAAAAGAACATAGGTTATCAGGCTTGTCAGATAGGAAGCTGGAAGATTTAATGCATGTGAACACATCAAATGGCAAATTTGCAATACTAAAACATTCTAAAAGCCTGAAACAAATGGATTAAATATAGTGATTATTATAAATTAGTTCAGAATGTAGAATTAAATATTGAAGTTCATTAAACCAAATTCTGAATGAGAAACACATAGCATATATAAGACTTAAGTTTGGAGAGGAATCTGTGCAATGTCTACCCATATTGCCATATGACTGACTCCAACATGGGTGAAGTGGGGTCTGTAGAATGTGACGATCTCAGGCAATTGGAAACCAGCAAGATCTTATAGAATGAGCAAAGAGGAATACCCAGGCCCTCAGAGAACCATGCTGTGAGAAGGGCCCCAGGGCAGGTATGAGTCAGTAAAGATTTTCACCTAGAGCAGGAAGAAGCAGTCATCATCCAAAGGGTGAATGTAGGTTGTGGTTGATAAAAGAGGCCAAATTTAGTGGCAGAATAGCATTAGCAAGCATCAAGCCTGAGGAGTGTGAAATGATCTTAAAATAGAGAGGCTGTGGCATGAGGCTGCTGATATGGTCTCAGCCCCAATCAGGGTTTGTTCAGGACTTGAGCAGAACTGAACCTCAGGACAGTTTCCAATGACTCCTATTCAGTGTGCTTGGGGTGGGAGACAAGAATTGGCTGTCCAGATTTTGAGGAGCAAAACAAGAACAGGAGACCCTAACCAATGGGAATTGCCAGGATCTACTCATTTCTACTCCCTGCCTATAGCAAACTTCATCCCTCACTGTACCCTGCTTTAAGGATTAAGCTCGTCCCTTGTCTTTCATTAATAACTGCTTATCTCCTGGCATCTTTCTTCTCTCCATTTGGAAAACAAGAGATCAAGTGGGCGAGTATCTAGATAGGAGGGCTCCATCACAGTAGAGAAAGAGTTCAGAAATATTCCCAAATGTTGTCATGTACCCAAAGAACAATGTGTTCCTTAAGGTGAACACTCTCCTACCACCTTATAACTCACTCAATCCTAACCTCAGTTTCCAGTGCAAAGAAATAACACAAGATGGTTATCTGGCAGACTGATAATCAAAGGTCTAAATTCCCAAACTTGAAAAATTGCAATAGCTACCATGTGGGTTTAAGGTATAAATTGTTTTGATTATATATTTGTTTACACTGCTATTCAAATAAATTTGGGGCATAACTATTGGTTTTTAAAAATACACTTTTATGAATACAAGTTAAAATCTCTTACACATTTAGTTAAAATTGAAAAAATAAAATTCTACAGCAGTCATGAATGACAGTAAAATGTTGTCTAGGGACATCTAGATGTTCATGAAGAAATTATCTTGCATTGATTTTTAAAACATGGCTTTACTCTGCCCACCTTCATCTATGGGCTCACAACAACACTTGAGTCAAAAAAACCCACACTTGACCTGGGGCTTACAAAATTCCAAGTTTCCAGATGAAGACTCAAAAAAATTCCACAGATAATTAAATTTAAAGGAAATAGAAGCATACATTAAAATTAGTGTAACATTCATCTTCATTATATTCTCAAATAGTACCTGAATTCTGAAAATGCTCTCTATGTTATTAAAAATAGGCCAAGTGACAGTTGAAGTTCCAAGAGTTTTTCCATTGGTTTCATTAGATGAATTTTAGAAGACTGCCATTATCATGATGTTCCACCTCCTTCCCCAGACTGAAACAGGCCATGGTTCCACTTGCCATTGCAACCAGGAAAAGAATGAATGAAACAGCTTGTCTGTTCATCTTGACTGATGGTTCTACTAGGCCTTATGGGTTCTCATCAATGTGGCAGTCCTGCAATGGCCAACAGATGAAAAGATGTTTTCAAGGACCTTCCACAGTACATGAGAAGACAGCTTCCATTCAGCATATTGTCAGTGGAGCTGAAATCTTGCAAAATACTGATTGAAATCATACAATTGCCCAAGATGAAATATTTATGGATTATATTTTAAAAATTAACAATGCTAGTGTGGGAAAGTAAACCCCAGAGAAACACATTGGAAGAATGATGTTTTACCAACTCTCATGGTACAAAGGGTCGGGTCACATAATTCCTGTGCCTGACCAGGCTCTCCAGGCCAAGCTTTCTAGATCCCTGCCCCTATTATTTGATCCAGGTCTTTTAGCTACTATGTTCCTTTGTTTTCCCTGAACATTTGCTCATATTATTCCTACCATCTATAGTAAATTGTTCCTTTAATCTTACTAGACCCACATTCCCAGCCTCTTTAATTAGTCTCATATGTGAGATGGAGGTTAAAAGGCCTTCCACTCCTCCAGGAAATCTTCCGGGACCACACCCCTGCAAGCTGAAGGATGCCTTGAGACCCACATTATAAGGAACTCCAGTAGCCTATATATGTCCTTCACAGCACACATGTGATTGTTACCTCAACTTCTATTTCCCACACTGAGATTTAGGCTGTGTGAGGTCAGGCCTACTCTCAATCTTGTTCAGCACTCTAACTCCAGAGCCTTTGCAGGCACACAGCAACCTGTTTAAATCTGGTAAACAAGATGGATTAAAGCAAGAACTAATTTCTAGGGGTCTGGTTACTAAGGCCAGCTTTCCTCTGCATCAGGGTTTAGGAGTCAGGAGGACAACAGGTACTGAAACCAGAGCAAAGTGGACCTGCTTAGAAGTAATATAAACTCAGAATAATGGTAGCTATGCTGATATATAACTGATAGAACTCTTTAAGTGTATGCCCCAAACCAATCAGCTCTATTGTATGATCCCTAAGGAAAGAAAGGAACAAGGGAAAAGTAGCCTGAGGGGTCAGGGTAGGAGGGTGGGGAGATGTCAAGGGAGGCTGGCCAGGCTATGCGCCCAGGGCTTCTCCTGTGGGCTCAAGTGTGGGTGAGGCAATGTCATTCTGCTGGGACCAGTACATGCAGACACAGAGCAAGCCTGGCATGGTGGCAAGGTTGGAGTAGCGCGATGCAGCCAGCGTGAATCTGCCAAGGTCACTAACTTGGAGGGGGTATAGGATCTCTAGAAGCCTAGGCGGCTAAAGGTGCTGGAGGACATGGTCCTGCCGCAGAGGCAGGAGGGGCCGGACTGCATGTGCGAGGGAGGGGAAGTGGGAGTGAGTGGGAAGCAGGGACTGGGACACTGAGCACAGGAGTCCTGAGTGAGGGAGTGGGGAYTGTGAGTGAAGACTAGGAACCCAGAGGCCAAGGCCCAGAAGCAACACCTTCCCCCAAAGAAGAGGCGCCTGGGACATAGTGTATCCTGCAGCAGGCCCCGTGGTGAACATGCTACAGGTTTCTTTCCCATGCTGCCCTCACAGCAGTGCTGGGCAATGGGACTGTCCTCAGTCAGGCTTGCACTGTCTTAACTGAGAGACCAGCAGGGTGATGACAGTGGCACCCACTGGAGGTTGGGCAGAAGCTCTAAAGACATCTCCTTTCTGCTTCTCCCCGCAGGTGGTGTGTGTGCCCCTGTGGATCCTCATGTCCTTTCTGTGCCTCGTGGTCCTCTATTACATCGTGTGGTCGGTCTTGTTCCTGCGCTCCATGGATGTGATTGCAGAACAGCGCAGGACGCACATCACCATGGCACTGAGCTGGATGACCATCGTCGTGCCTCTCCTTACTTTCGAGGTAAGCACCTGGGAAATCTGTCCAGCCCCCAAGCCCACCCTCCCCCATGACGACATCCTGCCTACCTGGAAAGGCAGCCTGCCAGCCCTTGACATGGCGGTGTGCCCCGTGGAGGTCTGCAGAGAAGGGCAGGGACATGGCCAGGTCCTCTCTTTCTCCTAGGCACGGGGCAGAGAGCCGTGCACCTCTCCAGCCACCATGCATCCGGAGGCGTGCACCTTCTGCTTTTAGGAAGGGAGAGTTTGAAGTCATCACTATGTATTGGAGTCCTGTAGAGAATTCTACAGTGGACACAGTTGGCTCCTTACAACCAACACCAGGAATGTTTCCCATGAAACCCCTGGTGGTGACAGTTTTCCAAGTGGATGGACTTTTGCTTGGTCCCGAACAAGCAGGCCAGCGGGCACCTGGTTGCTCCCCACAGGAAGCATGCATTTCTGCCGGTGGTGACAGTTTTCCAAGTGGATGGACTTCTGCTTGGTCCCGAACAAGCAGGCCAGCGGGCACCCGGTTGCTCCCCACGGGAAGCATGCATTTCTGCCCTTGCCATGTGACTCTCCCTCTTCCGAGACCTAATAAGGGAGGAGGTGTGTAGTGGGGCAGCTTCAGACTTTGTCCCTTTCCAAGTGACACATTGACAGGACCCTGACTGTGTCTCTTTCTCCAGATCTTGCTGGTTCATAAACTGGACGGCCACAATGCTTTCTCTTGCATTCCAATATTTGTGCCCCTGTGGCTGTCGTTGATCACACTGATGGCAACCACATTTGGACAGAAGGGCGGAAACCACTGTACGTACTCTGTGCCTGAGAGGCACTGGAGGGGTGTGTGTGTGTGTGTGTGTGTGTGTGTGTGTATGAGAGAGAGAGAGAAGGGGGAGGGGCTCTGCTCTATGGAAGGATGACTCAGAGGGCTCTGATTTAGGAATAGCCATGGGGACTCTAGGGCTGAAGAAGGTCAGGCACCTCCCAAGGCAAGGGCAGCTGTCACCCTTGCTTTGTACTGGCCTGCACCACAGCTCTCCTCCAGGCTGTGCATGCCTTGATTACAGGCAGGACCATATAAGGCAGGCTGGCTCTCCGAGCTCCTGTGCCCTCCTCTGCAACCCAGGTCTCGTGAGGCTAGATGAAAAGTCCTCGTCGGCCCAGAGAACCTGGGGAATCCTCCCAGGTCTCTTTTTGCGCCTCCCCTCCCCAGTGTCAGTGTGGACATCACAGATTCTGGTCAGTTGTACGTGGCCAGAACACTCTGCATCTCTTCCTCCATGCTGACACATGGATTCAAAATCGTCTTTGCAGAGGGTCCTTCCTCACAAGGCAGTGAGCACCAGTGCATGGAACCCAGAGCACTGCCCTTGCGGAAGCCCGGGGCACTGCCAAGAGCAGCCCGAGCCATGCTTGCTGCTCTTGTCCTGGGAGAGCCAGCACTGAGCCAAGTCTCCTGAGATGCCGAGGGGGAAAGCTGACCTCGGGGAAGTGACTTTGAGGAGGGCCATGAGCGGCAGTTCATGTGCTCTAGTGCCCGGCCGAATCCCTGGAGGGCCAGCTCAAGTGGTGTTCCTGGCCCAACCCCAACCCTAGCCCAGCCCACCCCAATGCTTCTGAATCAGGAAGGCTAACCCCTGAGCTGCAGAATCACATCCTAAGAGCGCCCCAGGAATGTCCTTGCCGAGAATTTGGATCCTCACTTTGAGAACCTTGGAGCCGGAGGGATTAATTCTTCCTCCACTGGCCCTGCAGAGCCTGGTCAGCCATCATCTCCGAGGACGCTGGGGAAGCATTGCATAGTGAGAGTAAAGCTTCCTGTTGAGTAAAGAGAACAACAAGGAAATCCACGGAGACTAGCATTTGAAAAGGAAAATTCTTCTTTTTCAGGGTGGTTTGGTATTCGCAAAGATTTCTGCCAGTTTCTGCTTGAAGTCTTCCCATTTTTGAGAGAGTATGGAAACATCTCCTATGATCTCCACCATGAAGACAACGAAGAAACTGATGAAATCCCAGCTCCAGAGCCTCCTAAAATCGCCCCTATGTTTCGCAAGAAGGCCAGGGTGGTTATTACACAGAGCCCTGGAAAATACGTCCTGCCCCCTCCCAAGTTAAATATCGAAATGCCAGACTAAAAGGACACTGGCAGGGCCAGAGCATGAGTGGACTGGGACGCACGCTCTCTCCCTCCCTCTGCCTCTCCTTCACCCTCCTTCCCCGAGACCCCGAGTGGAGCTGGGCCTCTAGGGATGTCCATCTCATGCCTCGTTTGCATTCAGTGCCAATCAGCTGCTCACCACGTCGGGATACAGAGGTGGCGGGGGGGTTGGGGGTGTCTGTGGATATGATGCCAGGGGCCGTGAAGGAGAGAGAAGAACCCAATTCCGTGAGAGCGGGTGTCTAAGGCATCTTCTCTTGCCCATGGTACCACCTGGGAATGGCTGCTCCTGAGACCTGCAGGGGGAGATTCTGCCTACAGGACAGCTTCACAGGGCTGAAATTCCTGTGGCGAGTGTTGGTGGAAGTGGTTTCCTACAGGGCCGCCTCCCTGGACAGCTCTGAGCTGTCCCGCTGCAGGTCGGCAGTGGGGACTGTAACTGGGTCTCAGTGTACCTGGTGTTTCCGCACAGCCCCGCCGGCCGCCGTGCTTAGCCCTGTCCCTGCAGTGGAGGGCTTTCCCTTTGGGCGTGCTGACAGTGGTTTCCACGGCCTCCTCCGTGAGCCCTTCCCAGTGGAGTGACTCCATGCCTGTATAGTATTTATACGAATATTTTAGCATTGTAATATACAGCGTCAAATCCTAGTTCTGTACAGCATACTCTGTTAAAGTATTTTTTTACGAGCTTGTGCCCGAGACGGACGTGTTCTGCTGCAGAAGGTGAAGTCGGTGCCAGCCCCGCCCCACCTCAGAGTTGTGCCGGGCCTTCACAGGACATCACCGCTTACACCTGGAATTCTGACACGTGCATAGCCCTGCTCCTGCCAGCAGAGCCACAGCAAGCAGAAAATGACCTGTGTGTTCCCTCACGTTGGGGAAATCAGGCTGGGAATAACCTAGAAAGCAGTGCTCGGGCCAGGACACGAGGGAAGGTTGCCAGGAGCAGACACATCACAGATTCCCATGGGGGTTGGGGTCTGTAGCATTCTGCCTGCCGGCAAGGAGAGCGCTTTACACCTGGCCAGTGCTGTCACCTGTGAGCACATTTTCTCTCTCCTCTGCTGTGACAGCCCAGAACACGTCCAGTCCTGCCAGTGGAGTAGCCTTCTGCCGAGAATCAAGTAGGTCCTTCGTGCAGGTGGGTGGAGAGGACCATTGACGAGCCCGCTCAAGAGGCAAGGGCAGGTTTTCATGTGGGCAACTGCTAAATGGCCTCAAGCAGGCCTAATGGAAGTCCATCACGTCCCTGACTCTGCCGCTGGCGCTGGCCTGTTGCCAGTCTGCTGTGTTTCAGAGGAAAGGGGGGGGATGGTGTACCTTTCCTGCTTGGTGTGTAAAAAATGTAGTTAGGTCCACTATTTTTGCTCCCTGTAGTTGTTCAATAAACCAGTTCCTTGTTTTACATACTCACCGGGTACATCTTGTTTTGTAGACAGCTGGGGAACGGGAATTGTGCTTAGCCAGTGGCAAAGGCAGCCGAGACTGGCAGGGGTGTGGGAATGTCCTTTATAAGGAGTCTCTCCATGAGGGACAGTGCCAGGGGTGTACAGAGGGAAAGAGGGAGTGGTCAAGATTCTGTGGTTGTCTGGGTGATGCCACACTGCCATTGTTAGATCTCAGGAGGTTCTGCTCATTGTCCCTGAGCTGGCTGGCAGTGTGCACGTGGAATTGCCTTTGCACTGGCCCTGGGGCACTCACTTTGATCGTGTGGGTAGCAGAGAGTTGCTTACCTCCCAGATGCTCTGTGTTTCTCTCTCGCCCGAGCTGCCCCTCCAGTTCAGTGACAACTTAACTCGGGTGGCCTTTCAGAAGAGGAAAGCCACGGTTGCTGCTGGTTGAAGGATTTCCCACAGGCAGCACAGGGCACACATGAATCCTTCCTTCTTGAGCACACTGGAGTTCAGACTCGCTGTGCAGAGGAATGCCTTATTAATTAACGTCGGAGGAGGCTGTGACTCAACTGCCAGGTGCCATGCTGCTCCTCTGTGCCCCTTGAATCCCCAACCCTGGGAGGCAGATGCCAAAACTCTTCTCCCTGTGAGGAAATGGAGGCCAGGAGAGGTCAGTTAATGTGTCCAAGAACACAGCTAGGAAATCCTGGGTAAAGATGGTGACACGGGCTGTCTGCTTGCACATCCCAGACCCTTACCCACCGTGCCCTGGGCCTCAGGCCCTGGCGTCCAGAGGTCCCAGGTGTGGAGAACTTACTGGTTCCTGGAAATGCCTGGAACACCATGGAGTGCCATGCCCACAGTGGAGTGGGGACAGTCTGTGGGAGGTGGCCTTGCAGGTGTGGCCAGTGTGATGTGGAGGTAGCTTCAGATGGGACGTTCCCCTCTGGACCGTCCGGTGCTACACTGCACAAGAATGACTGCAGAGATCTAATACTGGGCATAAACCAACACTTGTCCATATGGATGTGCTTCTTGGTCAGGGTTAATAAGGCCTGTATGTCAAGCGAGATGGCAGGTGACCTGGCCCACCATGACTGCAAAGACCCACATGGTCTGTGTGGTGGGGCACGGGTACAGACTGAAGAGAGGCAGGGAGCGGGACACCTACACCTCTGTGGGCTGTGACATTAACAGGTCATCCGTGTGCTCAAGTGGCGACCTGCCTGCCATTTGTCTCCTCCCGACCAACATGTTACGTGACTATGTTAATAGGGTCTCTGTGGAGGATGTCACTGGCCCCTGTGGCTGGGAGTGTCAAAGGATGGCGGGGCCGCAGCTGGAAACATGGGAGCCATCCTAGAATTGGCTGTGCACCAGGAACATGGATTCTCTCGAGGAACGTGTGGCCAGTAGTTTGGGAAGGAGCACCCACCTTGTTAGTCCTTCCTGGACCCTGTTGGCCAAAGGAGCTGGAGGAAATGGGGGCTGTCCATGGCTCATCCTTAAGGTTTGGCAGGTTACCTTGAACACTCATGGGCACTGCTGAGATCTTTCCTGTGGAGATGCCTTTGTGTGGACCAGAGTGTCCACGGCTGGTGGTCTGCTTGGGCTGTCTATGAGAACACTGGCCAGCCAGGTCGTGATGTCACCACCAAGGAACCCAAGACCCCTTTTGATGTCCTGGGGTGGTGTTAAGATCAAGTTGAACCAAGGACAAGCCATCGGTGAGTATGGCTAGGTGTGAGGTACAGGATCCGAGAGGCCAGGGTTCTGGCCCAGGCCCAGGAGTGTGCCTTTTCCTCAAGTGCCTATAGCGGCTGGGGCACCTGCTACCGCTGTGGCCCTGTTCCCTCCTCTCTGCATTTCACCACGCTGCTGTCCCAACTGCTACTGTGTCTCAGAATACATGCCAGGCACCGGCAGTGGTCTGATGTATCCCCCTTGGTGGACCACCAGAGGTGAAAGCAAGCATCGATTCAGACACATGCTGGTCAACAAAAAGCACGAGAAATCTGTGTGCACAAAAGTGCCCGAGGTATCTGTCATGTCTTTCTCTTCAGGTTAGCAAAACCCTGGGCTATCTTTGGCTCTCACGGTAAAGACTTTAGCACCATGAGGCCCTGGAGTAATGCAGGGACCAAGACAAAACTCCAGTGGATTAGGGTTCAATTCAGTTCCCCAGACAGCCTCTGTCCACTCCTGAAGAATACGCTGTGTCCAGAGAGGGCAGAGTAGAATCAACAGGAAGCGCATTT